AAGATGGTTATCTTAAGATGGTAACTAAAAGGAACAAATCAGTTTGGTTCATCATAGTTCCAGTATACCAGTTTTATCCAAATACCCCAATAATGTCATCATTTAAAATGGTTGTAGTTAGGGGCACCTGGCTGGCTCAAGTCAGAGGAACGGCGACTCTTGATCCTCAGGGTCATGAGTTTGAGCCGCATGTTGGGTGTAGAAATTAGTTAAAAAAAAAAAAAAAAATCTTAAAAAATTTTTTTCTTAATGGTTGTAGTTAAGCCAGAAGTAAAACTCAGGGCTTCTAACTCTGCTTTGAACATTTGCCAATTGATACTAACACAAATTGATTGCATAAATCTAAGTGATTCCTAGGTCTTGAACTTGGACAGTCTAATGAAGGATGCGTCGTGTCTTCAGGACTGAAACATACTTCTGTGTTAAACCCCATGTTTGCTTTAGTGTCTTGAAGGGGTTTTTTGTTTTTGTTTTGCTTTGTTTTTTAAGCATAGCCATTGAATTGTGAATTTCCCTTTCTTTTCAAATGGGTTCCTCTTTGTGGATGCTGGTAGTAAGAAAACCTAGCTCCTCCCACCCCCCCAAAAAGAAAAAGAAAACCTAGCTTTTGGTGAAATAATTTTTTAAAAATTGATAAATAACAGTAGTTTTCATGACTAGATTTCATTCGAGAGTTTAAATTATGTAGTATTTTGCTGTGGTTCTTCAGAAAGTTTCTTCAATGCTGTATTAACACTTCATTTTTTTTTTTCATTGTAAAATGTTTCAGGAACCTTTTTAATGTCTGTGTAGTAAAGTAATTGTTAATGTCACTCTGTTCACCTGCATGTAATATATAATGCTCATACGGAGTATTACTTCAGATCCTTCCTAGTAGACCTGAAAGAATAGGGAAGCCAAAGAATATCTTTCCACTCCCTTCCTGATCCTTGGATCCAATTTGGCACCCAGGCCCAAAGCCCTAAACCAGACTCCAACACTAGCCCACATTCCCTGCTCACCTTCTCTCTCATCCTTGAAGCCCACCAAGCCCTGAAGGGGACAGGAAGGAAGATGGCAGGTAGCAGGGAACAGAGCCTAGAAGAAGGGGTGGAATTTGGCAGCAGGTAGAAGGGATTTTTCTGCACCTCTGGCCCTCTTGACCGACCAATAACTGAGTGAGGTTCTGTATGTTCAGATCACAAATGTCGTAGAATATAACATGAAAACACTTTTAGCATTCTTTACTTGTCTGCAACCGCCTTGTTACATCCCTAAGTACGTAAATTCAAAATTCCCATGTTTACCGTATTTTAGAAATGCAAATGCCATAACACAGAAAGAAAGGATAAGGTATCCCTGCTGGCAGTTACAAGCATTCATAAGCCGAGGCAGTAAGCATGGTGCTTAAGGACAAAGACTTTAGAGCCAGACTGCCTAGGCTTAAATCCTAATTCTGACCACTTGCTAAATGAGTAACCTGTTACTTGACCACATTATAATAGTTTTCTCATCTGCAAACTGAAAACGATAGCACTCTCTTAAAGGCTTATAAAATTTAAGTAAGTTGATGTGAATATAAATGTTTATAACAATGTTTAATACATAGTTAGCTCTACGTAAGAATTTGTCCTCTTTAATATTATTATACCATGCCCCCTTTCTGGTGTCGCTTCTACATTAAAATGGCCCAATCACCAATCAGATTTGTAGTCAGCAGGTGCCATTCATACTCACACTACCATCTTTAACTATAACTCCTAGCAAACACCCCTCCGCAATAGTGTTAAAAAGCAAAATGCTCATTTTTTCCTCTTTCCCAGGCCCAACACAGAGATACTTTCATTGAAGAACGCTATGGAAAATACAACATCAGTGATCCTTTAATGGCTCTACAGAGAGACTTCGAGACACTGAAGGAGAAGAATGATGGCGAAAAGCAGCCAGTCTGCACAAACCCACTCTCTGTCCTTAAGGTGGTGATGAAGCAGTGTAAGAGCATGCAGGAGCGCATGCTGTCGCAGCTGGCTGCCGCTGAGAGCAGGCACCGCAAAGTACGTTCACCCGCCTGCCTCGTGCCACATAAACTCTCATGATAAATGATGCCTGATCCTGTCTTGTCAGCTGCCGGTTCCCACAGCAATCCAACTGGGAGGTCTCCCAGGTGTCAGAAGCCCCTCAGCCTACCCAGGAGCCAAGAGCTCAGAGAGAAAACACAAGTTACTCAACATGTTAAATTTAGGGACTATGCCAGACACATTATTTAAGACGGCATTCCTTCCTGATAGGACCCTCCAAAACACTTGCTCTGTTTTTTCAGCTCTTGATCATCCGAACTTTGGCAACAAATTGGGGTTTGACCAAGCTTGTGGCTGAACAGAGCGTTCCCTATTTGCTTACTTAAGTGATAAATAGCAAGATTAACAGGTATTTGGGGAATGCTGTATGAGAGAGAGAATTTACCTGATTATAAACATGCAAGCCAATGGATTGTTTTTATATATCTCTAGTTTTTGTTTTCGTTTTTTTTAAAAGATTTTATTTATTTATTTGACAGAGAGAGACACAGCGAGAGTGGGAACACAAGCAAGGGGAGCGGGAGTGTGAGAAGCAGGCTTCCCGCCAAACAGGGAGCCCGATGCGGGGCTCGATCCCAGGACCCTGGGACCGTGACCTGAGCCGAAGGCAGACGCTTAACGACTGAGCCACCCAGGCGCCCCTATATATCTCTAGTTTTGAGATTCATTGCTTTTTACTTCTAAAACGGTAAACAGTCCCGAGGATTGTTTACCTTAAAGCTGTTCTACCCTATTAGGAAAGTGTGTGTGCGCGCGCAGGCGCGCGCGCGTCACTCCAGATCTTACAGCCCCTAGTTAGGCAAACCTGTGCTTTCCTTTACCTCATCTCATTGGAATTCTAGTGCTTGTGATTTTATTCCCCGACCTGATTTACCACTCAAATTTCGCCTGTAAAAGATGCTTGGCTAGAGTCTACATTTTCTAAAACTATTGGTTTAGATTTATACCAACAAGGGAGACATCAACACATTTAAGTAGGAAGCATTTTATTCTGAAAAATTGGGTCAGCAGCTGCAAATCGATGTACTTTAGTTTACTTTTATGATTACCTACGTTAGAGAGCCATCTGCTTAAAACGCACCTGACAAATTGCTTAGGCATAGGTCTTGCCCATGATTTTTCTTACTCTTCCCAGTGTCCAAATGAAAGGCCAGGGTGGAGATTTTTTTTTTTTTTAATATTTCACTTATTTATTTGACAGAGAGAGAGAGAGACACAGTGAAAGAAGGAACACAAGCAGGGGGAGTGGGAGAGGGAGAAGCAGGCTTCCCGCAGAGTAGGGAGCCCGATGTGGGACTCGATCCCAGGACCCTGGGGCCATGACCTGAGCCAAAGGCAGACGCTTAACGACTGAGCCACCCAGGCACCCCTGGGGTGGAGATTCTTAACCATGGATGGGCCTCAGATGTTCCATGATCCCCCCAAAAATATACAGAATGCCAAAAGTCCATACGTTTTTATAGAATGTGAATTTTTTCCCACATCTTTAATTGAATTCTCAGAGTTGTCCAAGATCCAGCAGAGTTTAACCTCTGGTCTAGAATGAACTAATCTAAAGACATTTATGCCCAGTTTAAAACGTGTCGGTGGGTCTGAGTTAGTTGCCTAAATTTGGGGGCCTTTTACGTAATCCTCTAAGAAAGTCTTCACAGCGTGCTTGTTTGATAGGCCTTTTCCCCCTTCCTCCATGAAGCAGCTGAGCTGCCCTGAAGGGTTGGCTGGCTGTCATGCCCATGAAAGGTGTAGTGATGGGATGATTTGTGGCTCTAGGTGATGAGGGAGAGGAAGAAGTTAAAAATAATTCAAAATTCTTTAATACTATATTTCAATGTAAGATTCTTTGAGTGTTAAATATTTTTAAACCAACTGCCTGTTTGTAAGTGTTTTATCAAAGTAAAACACTGACTTTGTTACAAGTCAGACAGTACCTAGAGGCTTATAATTAGGGTGCTTATTGTCCCAGTTTGCCCAAGAGAGTCCCAGTTGATGCCTGTCACCTCAGCATAGTCATTAAGAATACCCCCTTTGACTCTCAGAAGTGTTGTGGTTTGAACTGTAAATTACATGCTTACCCTGCGTATTATGTAACATAGAGTTCCCTAGTCCACCTTTCCCCATTCCCTCTTCTCCTCCATATTCAGAGACAGCCATTTTCTCCTTTTGACCATTTATTTTGGTAGCTAACTTCCGTATTTCTAAATGGTATACTATCCCCCCCTTATCAATTCTTGACACTTATATTAATGCTTCCTCTCATTGTAGATATGGATTTATCTTACACCCTGCCGCCCATTCCACCCTACCACCTTCCCAAAACAGACACAGCCCCCTTTCCTCACCCTCATTCTCTGGTATTCCCAAATCCTGAGCCTGCCACATTCTGTTTCTTCTGAGGATAAACATCTGCCTTATGCCTGGGCAGTAGATGCCTAACATTCTTTTTCTTTCTTTTTTTTTTTTTTAAAGATTTTATTAATTTTTGACAGAGAGAGAGAGTGTACAAGCAGGGGAAGCAGAAGGCAGAGGCAGAGGGAGAAGCAGACTCCCCGCTCAGCAGGGAGCCCGATTCGGGACTCGATCCCAGGACCCTGGGATCATGACCCAAGCCGAAGGCAGACACTTAACTGTCTGAGCCACCCAGGCGCCCCGATGCCTAACATTCTATGTACAGGAATCAGGTTGAGGGGACAAATACCTTCTGGAAAATACAGATTTTGAGCCGGTGCCCTTGTTTCCTACCCCACATTTCACCTCCCCTCTGCAGCACCGGCCGCCTCCAGGTTCCAGATCTCTTTGGGGCCCTGCAGGGCAAAACAGCTTCCTCTCCCATACCAAAGTAGCTACCACCCTCCTGCCTCCTGCCCTCTTCAAATGTTATTTACATTTCTTGTCTGCTACAATCTCTGTCTTTGAGGGTTTTTATCTTTTCATTCCATTTCTGTAATTTTAGAGGGCTTTCCAAAAGGAGAGGAGATGATGGAACACCATTAGCCAAAATTGTTTTTCTATTAAATTGAAAAGTTAGGGTTTTGGGGTTTTTGGTTTTCGTTTTGGTTTTGTTTTTTTTTTAGGATTTTATTAAGTAATCTCTACACCCGACGTGGAGCTCGAACTCACAACCCCGACGTCAAGAGTCCCATGTTCTAATAACTGAGCCAGCCAGGCGCCCCAAGTTAGGCTTTTTTTTTTTTTCTTTTTATTAAACCAAAAGGAAGAACACCAAGATGTTTTCATTTTTGTTAAATGAAAACATTTTGGGCTTCATGACCCAGAAACTTTTCTCTCTCCATTCAAGAAAACCGTTAGTGAAGAGAAACGCTGAGAGATGGGAGGATAGTGCTATGCCCTAGAGGTCTGGGCCAAGGCACCTGGGAAGCAGGAACAGAAGCTGCTAAGAAATCCCTGGCCTTTCAGAATCTTGTGCCGTTATAGGTGGGATTATGTGGGAAATGTCCCTTTGTATGTGTACAGTATTCACCTTCAAACTGGGCTTAATCCTTTGGTGCCAAGATAAGTGGAATGGGGTAGGCAGATTAATTAAAAGGCCTTCTGAGAAATCTCCACATAGGATCCCAAGCGTTGAGGCTTTTTATGTGCAGGCTGAGCTCAAGAGTCTCTCCACCTCTCAGCTAACTATATACAAAATGCATATTTCTAACTAAGCAGGGCACAGTGATTTGAGCTTGAGGAGAGGATCTCAGCTTTCAGCTCTCTGTGGTCCTGTTCTTGCTTCATCCCCTGCCCCCATCCCCTAGTCTGAGCAGACTGCCTGCAGTTGCTGATCTATTAATTCTTGGAAACCTTCTCAACCCCTAGAGCTCTTTCGTTGCTCTCTTCTATTTACTTGCCATTTTGTGCATCCTGAAATAAAGCATAGATCTTACTGTTTTCTAGCACACAGCTCGCATATCTTTCACCCTACTAGATAAAGTAATCCTTGATGGCCCTGACTGGGATGGATGGATTGATCTCTGGAACTATCTTAGGTGCTTAGACAGGCGCTTAGTATTTAATTGTGTTGTATTATAAGTGTGTTTTCTTGATATTTGGAATTTTTGTTTCTTTAATTCTTTTAAAGGTGATCCTAGACCTTGAGGAAGAAAGGCAGAGGCATGCGCAGGACACAGCTGAAGGAGATGATGTCACCTACATGCTGGAGAAAGAGAGAGAGCGGCTGACTCAGCAGGTGGTGACGGTGGAGGGGCTCACAGCACCGTGCGGCTAGAGTAGTGTTTCTCAAAGATTGTTCTGCAGGGTGTAAATTAGTGTTGCTCCGAAACAAAGGGCTTTGTGGTCAAATAAATCTGGGAAATACTGGATTAAACAAAGTTAAATAGGTTTCTAATTTCTTAGACCCTTGAGTACAGAAAAGCACATTGTGAGTCTCAAGAACAAGATGGTTTCTGAGTTTAGCAAATCTACGTTTTCATAGAATCTTTTTTTTTAAGATTTTTTATTTATTTATTTGAGAGAGACAGAGATAGCGAGAGAGAGCAGGAGCGGGGAGAGGAGGGAGAAGCAGGCTCGCCACCCAGCAGGGAGCCCAACACGGGGCTCGATCCCAGGACCCTGGGATCATGACCTGACCCAAAGGTAGATGCCCAACAGACTGAGCCACCCAGGTACCCCACATAGAATCTTTTTTTGACAGAGCTCACTCACTGTGGTACTGTCATTCCGCAGAACATACTTTGGGAACACTAGCTTCGAACTCTCAAGCATTTTGACTTAGGAATCCAGTAACAAATATATTTGACATCACAACCCAGTGTATAGACATACATAAACGCACGCCTGAAACAAAAATCTCGTGAAATTATATATAACCCTTACTGCTTACAGTAACCATTCATTTTTTTAAAACTTTAATCGTGGCTCATGAGATTGGTTTCCTCATCCATTAATGAGTTTGAAAAATGTTCACTGGGTGCCTGGGTGGCTCAGTTGGTTGGGCGACTGCCTTCGGCTCAGGTCATGATCCTGGAGTGCCAGGATCGAGTCCCGCATCGGGCTCCCTGCTCGGCGGGGAGCCTGCTTCTCCCTCTGACCCTCCCCCCTCTCATGTACTCTCTCTCTCTCATTCTCACTCTCTCAAATAAATAAATCTTTAAAAAAAGAAAAAAAGAAAAACGTTCACTAATAGGGTTCCATCAACCCTTTCCCTCTTGCTCAGAGTTTCTGTGCCTTAAATAGGGTGGAAATAATAATTAAAATAGACTGCATTTGTGTAAAAAGCAGAGTTTATTTATGTATTTATTTTTAATTTAAATTCAATTAACATATAATATATTATTAGTTTCAGAGGTAGAGGTCAGTGATTCATCAGTCTTCTTAACACCCAGCGCTCATTACATCACGTGCCCCCCACCCCCTCCAGCAACCTTCAGTTTGTTTCCTATGGTTAAGAGTCTCTTATGGTTTGTCTCCCTCTCTGGTTTCGTCTTGTTTTATTTTTTTTTTCCTCAAAAGTACAGTTTGAATGCAACTATTTGTTTGTTTTTAAGACCAGAAAGAATGATCACTGAAACTTGAAAAGTTTTGTTTTCTTAAAAGTACACTTAGGATGATGGAGCCCTATGCTGTACCCCTGAAACTGACAGAACACTACGTTAACTATCCTGGAGTTAAAATGAATAAATGAATAGTTTTGTTTTCATCCGCATTCATCACGAAACCCAATGTGTGCGGCTTTCCGTTATCAGTCCTGAGCGGTTCTGGTCTTCTGACCCCTCTGCAGACCTGCAACACGCATTCCCGCCGCTAACAACGTAAGAACTAGAAGTGCCTCCGAAATCAGCAGAGAAAGCTTAATCCCTAGTGTGCACATTCGGGAGGTAGGGGCTCCGATGCTTCCGAGGTACCGGAGCTAAGCTGGCAGCGTGCAGGGCATCCGGGCGCCCGACGAGAGCCAGCCGGGATGTTTTGCAGCCGCTTTCTTTGTTGTCTTATCCTAATCAGGCTGTCCGGTGGCATTCTTTTCCAGCTGGAATTTGAGAAGTCCCAGGTGAAGAAGTTTGAGAAAGAGCAGAAGAAGCTGTCGAGTCAGCTGGAGGAGGAGCGCTGCCGTCACAAGCAGCTGTCGTCCATGCTGGCGCTCGAGTGCAGGAAGGCCACCGGCAAGGCGGCCGAGGAGGGGCAGAAGGCCGGCGAGCTGAGCCTGAAGCTGGAGAAGGAGAAGAGCCGCGCGAGTAAGCTGGAGGAGGAACTGGCGGCCGAGAGGAGGCGGGGCTTGCAGACGGAGGCCCAGGTGGAGAAGCAGCTGTCCGAGTTCGACATCGAGCGAGAACAACTGAGGGCAAAACTGAACCGAGAAGAGAACCGGACCAAAACTCTGAAAGAAGAGATGGAAAGTCTGAAGAAGATAGTGAAGGCTCTGGAGGCTTCTCACCTGCACAGTAGCCCTCCTGAGCAAGCGAGGAGGCCGGTGACCGTGTCGAAAGGCACGGTGACTGAGCCTCCCGTGCTGGTGTCTGTGTTCTGCCAAACGGAGAGAAGCCAGGGCAGCAGCGCAGCCAAGGTGACCGCCGCCGCCGGGCCGCCTGGTCCCGCCACTCCTACTTACTCGTGCGCAAAAACCAACGGCCATTTGGAGCCAGAGGGACAGACCACCAAGGAGCTGGTGGTAGGCAGCAGCGGGGAAAACCAAGTGCCTCCACGAGAGAGGCCTGTGGGGTCGGCCCAAGAGAAAGCAGTGGAGAACGGCGGGTGTCCTGTGGGAATTGAGACTCCTGGCCCAGCACCTGCTCACCTCCCGTCCAGTGGGGGCTCCCTGTCTCCCAGCAGCACGGCCTCCTCCTCCCTCACATCCTCTCCTTGCTCCTCCCCAGTGCTAACTAAGCGCCTGCTGGGGTCCTCAGCCAGCAGCCCCGGCTACCAGTCATCCTACCAAGTAGGGATCAACCAGCGGTTCCAGGCGGCTCGGCACAAATTTCAGTCCCAGGCGGATCAGGACCAGCAGGCCAGTGGTGTGCAGAGCCCCCCATCCAGGGACCTGTCGCCCACCCTCATAGACAACTCTGCCGCCAAGCAGCTGGCCCGCAACACCGTCACTCAGGTGCTCTCCAGATTCACTAGCCAGCAAGGGCCGATCAAGCCTGTCTCCCCCAACAGCTCTCCCTTCGGCACAGACTATCGGAATCTGGCCAACACTGCCAGCCCGAGAGGCGACGCCAGCCATTCCCCCACTCCAGGGAAAGTGTCCAGTCCGCTGAGCCCTCTGTCTCCAGGGATCAAGTCCCCCACCATCCCCAGGGCTGAGAGAGGAAACCCTCCACCCATCCCGCCCAAAAAACCTGGCCTCACCCCTTCTCCATCCACCACCACTCCACTGACCAAAACTCATTCCCAGGCCTCCTCTTTGGCCACCACGGAAGACCTAGCCGTCAGCTGCTCCTCCACGGCTGTCGTGGCTAACGGCAAGGACGTGGAGATACTCCTGCCTACCAGCAGCTAGTCCCTCGCGGGAGTCTCCACGGCTGACATTCCACCAGATTTCGTCCAAGAGCTCAGAGTCCAACTGTTGAGTCAGATCATGTTATTTATTTTGACAGTAGCTGAAACCATCTGTAGAGTCCATTTAGTGTATTTCGCCTTTTTGTATTTTTTTTTTTTTTAAGTAGAAACTGAGTCGTTTGGATTTTTATGCCTCACACCTTTGTACTAAAGCAGGAAGGGCACCTCAAAGACGTCTCAAGCTCAGCAGTCACCATCTCGTTGTGATGGAGAAAGCTAACTGAGGACCAGGTGGTGATTTGCTGTCTATTTTGGGACTGGAATCGCTCAACACTCATTGTGAATTATGCAGAAGTGGTTCGTGCAGATTGTTATTCCAGATGAACATGTCTCAAAAGTGCCTGAAATAAGACTGCCATGCGAATGTGATTCTGCAGCGAAAACACAAAATGGATCATCTAATTGCAGAAAATGAGATCCTCCGTGAATCCTGAATGTTAAAAAACAACACTGCTTTTAAACCTCTTTTACTGTTTTTAATATAAGCTTTGGGTTCAGAAACAAGGCTGCATCAGGAGAAGGGGAATCCGGAAGGTGGGTGTGACCTCGCCACGGAGCTGAGCTTTATAGAGCCCTTGAGAAGCCCTCCCGGGCAGGAGGCAACAAAGGTGCTGATTTTCGCATACTTCTAAAAAATTAAGTCACTCCCAGTTACCCTCAGCAGCCCTTGAATAGAATGAAATCTCATCTCCATTCAAAAAATGTCTTCAAGCATCTACTGTTGTATAAGGAACTTCTGATTCCAATTGCTATTACTTGAATAGGAAATGGTTACTCGTTCTGTATAAAAAGTTTTGCAACAGGATGAGATCTTTATTATGTAATCAAAAAGCAATAACTTAAAGTTCATTGTCTCTGTAATATTATAAGTCAGAATTATACAGGTTTTACCAAACTGTTACACTTACTCTCGGAGCTGCCAGCACTTGGTGTATCTGTGCAACCAAATTAACTTTTCCCTAAATGGAAGTATACATAGATCTGTATAGATACACAGCCCTTTGTGCGTCTGACATACACACACTTAAACACATAAATATTAGTGTGATTGTATCTTTGGAGTTTGCAATAGAGCATAAAGGGCGAGTAGAAATGCACATTAAGATTACCTAACAGAGCAACTCAGTGTGGCTGGGACCCAGTCGGTCAAAGGAGGAGTCTTGTCCATGGGGACCGGGGAGGGGGGGCGGAAATTCCAGATGAAGTCAGGTCGTCAGTGTCCTAAAATGCCAGGGCCAAAGACTGCAGTGTCACAAAACTCAACTGGCCATCTAAATGACTGAAACAGGTCACTCCATCAAGTGCTGTAAGTCAGCTGGGATGGGGGAAGCCGTAGCAAACTCAAGTGCCCGAGCCCCCTCTGATAGGCAAGGGCTCCTGCTGTTCAGCCCCAGCTGCTTGTCGCCATGCAGTGTTGCTAGACTCAGGTGACCAGCTCCTCAAATTTTTGTGAAACCCAAATTTTCATAGAAACATTCTCACTTTTAAATATCAAGACAGACTCAAAAACAATTTGAAACTGCTGGTTAAACACTTCTGCAGCTGGGTCTCACACGCTGCCAAGTTGCAACGTCTTTCATTCTAGAAACTTCTGTCATTTCCATCATTGCGAGTTTGAGGACAGACACCTCCCTCTTTCCAACGTGTAGGCTAGTACGGAGGTCATAGGATATGACCTCAGTATAAATAACCCAGAAAACGACCCCAAGACTGGTAGAGCATTCTCCCCGTCCTCCAAACAAGACCCCGCAACCTAGCTCAGACAAGGCAGTTCTAGGACTTCGTGTCCACAGGGATGGGAGAGGCCTTAGTGTCTTCTCATACATTCTCCCCAGCCAACATCCACCCAACAGCCCTGTCCTTCTGCTGTAATTTAAATCTATTTCCTCTTAATCCAGTATGAATTGATGGGGGACGGGCCAGTGATGGAAATCAATGTATAAAGCACAACTGGTGTCTCCAGGGCTTAGGGTTGGATTAAGGCCAATACATCCAAAATTAAAATACTCTTCATACCCCAGGATGTCTACCAAATGGTGAACGGGGTATCTTATAAACTGCCCAAAGCAATCATGCATTAAACTTCATTCCCACGCACGGCCAAGTGAAGTGATAAAATAGCTGACCTTCCTAAACAGGAGAGGGGCTACGGTCCCAGAGTGTTATTACCTCTCTTGCTTTAAATGGTAATCTTAAAATTTGCATTGTGCTCTTCCCCTTGTTTCAGCATAGATATATATATAGAGAGAGATACTATAAGGATGTTTATTTCTTAGGAAGTGCACTGAATAATGTATTTCTTTTACAGTGTAATATGGGGGTGGGGAAATGCAAAAGAAATGTGTATTTTTGCTAGTTGCCTATCTTCTAAGATAAATAAGCACAATACTGCAATGGATCCAATAATCCAGCTAGGTATTATAGATTGGTATTTAAGTTTGCTGTAGATCGTGTGTGTGTGTGCTAAGTAAAAGTTCCATGATTCACAATTTTGGTACTAACCCATGTTGTGGACGCTAGATTGCTACTCACCAGATGCCGATGGATGCGCAACGCATACCACAAGCATTAACTAGTCATTCTCATTTGTAAAGCCAAATGTACCATGCAGAAGTCTTCATCCATTTTTATAGCAGACTACATTAAAACAAGTTAAATCATACTGTCTGGGGAAAATCTAATCTTGTTTGTACAAAGTGAAGGATGTTGCACAACTGAGCCTGTTTTGTCTGGGAAGGAGCAGGTGTCGAGGGAGTACACATGCCTGTGGCTTTCGAAAACCAAGTGAAGTCAGTGACCTGTCCAGGTTAGACTCCAAAAGGAGCTGGGCTGTTGGTCTTCTTGAGAACCTTAGAGCTGGAAGAAGCCTTTGCGGTGATCCAGTCTATAATTTTTAAGCCCTGGAGGGGTTTAAAGGGGTTCTGGGCCTTTTGAGAATCTAAGAAACACTAGACTCCATCCTCAGAAAAATGGATATACTAATAGGCAGAATGTGGTTGATGGCTTCCCAGGATCCAAAGACCCTGAAGCCATCCATGATTCATGTACTCGAGCTGAAGAATGCCTGATCTTGTCCTGCCCTCGCATTCTACAAGTGACTAATGTATCCCTTGTCTCCTAGTCCAGTGGTGAGGTTTTGCACTGTGAGCCAGTGCAAGCTGTAGGCAGACAGAAGCACCTGAGAAATCCTTTGATGTGCAAAAGATGTGGAGACAGTGGGGATGTTTACATATATTAAGTTTCCACCATTTAAGCCAATTAATGACCGTTTCAGCAAACACCGGGTATATCTGTTTTCCGGAACAGCCTCACTGTCAGCGGTGCAGCCTTGTCTTCACAGCGCGGGTCCCCCGTGCCTGGCGTGGGGTCTCCCCCTCTCCCCTCTCGGCGCCCAGAGCGCCCCTCCCTCCCACAGACAGTCCTGCAGGTCTGTTTGGCTCCAGACCACGTCTCCGCCCTTCCTACCCTCTTGGATGTGGCCTCTTCTCTACATTTAGTTGTGGAGAATGCTCTACCAGTCTTTGGGTCGTTTTCTGGGTTATTTATACTGATGTGGGTGTTATCTAGGTATATCTGTGGGACAGGTGAGCCTAGGATCCTCCTGCTCCGCCACCTTCCCTGGAAGGAGCCTTGTCAATTAATTTATATATATATATATATAATTAATTTATAAAGTGCTCTTCTGATGCTTGGTCCTTCAAACAACTTCAAATGTCTTGAAACGCTGGCTTCAAAATTGTATCTGTTCTCATGATCATGAGTCCAAAGTAGGCAATGAGCACTGTTCCACGGGAGTCATTTGTAAAACCAGATGAGAACACTTGAGAGCACCCATCTGCTAGTGTTATCAATGGCCAATTCATTTGTAAAAGCAGAGGAGGAGAAAGGAGACCAGGGTAGTGGTTCTCAAACTTTACTGTAACCTGAGAAGCCTTCTAAAATAAGGACTCCTGAGAATTGGGCCTAGGGGCTGGCTGATGCAGGTGGCCTGAGGCTCCCATTTTGAGAAACAGCGCCTCACAGCCCTTAACCTGTTCTTTCACAAGAACTTGGTCTTTGCCTCTGACCTGCGGAGATGTCTTAAACTCTTGAATCTGGTTTGCCGGAACGTCAATGATATTCAGAGCCAAGAGTGCTTACTTGGGTCCAAGCACCATATTATGTCCCCTGTGCAGATGAGATTGTTGAGGACCAGAGGTTCGCACAAGGGCCCTTGGTAAGTGCCAGCCTGGATTGAAGGCCCCAGGGCTTCCCACTTTCCACTACTTGTGTTTCCTGGGTTCTCCTGAGGTGCCCGTTGGCCGTGCCCAGGCCCCAGCCCTAGGGAGTCTGATTCCGTAGCCCAAGGTGAGGCTCTAGGTGAGTACCTGGGCTGATTCTTAGGATGGACCAGGTGTGAACCCTACAGGACACCACATTGCTCCTTCCACTCGCCGTAACAACCCCCACCCCCAGGAGTGTATTCTCAGATCTAACCAATGCCAGGAGACCTTTATCAGGTCAGGTAAGTTGAACAAAAACAGGGGCGTCTGGGGGGCTCAGTCCATTGAGCCTCCGACTCTTGATTTTGGCTTGGGTCAAGATCTCAGGATCTTGAGATCAAGCCTCATGTAGGGTTCTGAGCTGGGCGTGGAACCTGCTTGAGATTCTCTCTCTCCTCTCCCTCTGTCTCTCCCTATGGTAGCACACAGAGCTCTTGGTGGGCAGGAAAAAATCACTAGGAAAGAAGCAAATGTCTTTTCTCCTCTTTCCAAAGCATTCTTTACCTGGGGTTCTGCAGTATCTCCCTGTGTTTGCATTATGTCTCAATTGGCTTGTCCTAGTCTTCGGATGTGGTCAGAGGCAGGCACTAGAAGTCCCCAAGAACGCAGTGCTGTTTCATGTGGTGTGCCTTCTGCAAGGGCTTGGGGCTGGTGGAAGGAGCTCCCAGGGGCACAGCACTCTGCAAAACATTCCCCCAGTAACTTGTAGGGAAGACCTAGGAAAAGGCAAAGAGAGAAAGGACCGTCTTGCAAAAATCCTGCATTCCCCATAAGCGTTCCCTCCTACCCTCAAAACCTCTATCAGCAAAAGAGAGAAATGAACATCAAGCTTTGGAAGGCGTCAAACGAGTCCGACTTCTGGGACACCTGCGAGTGACTTACTGCCTTGGAGGGATATAAAAGCAGCTTCGCCATTAGAGTGGGGAGCACAGGGGGTATTGTGTAGCTCTCCATGCCACTGTGGTTGCCTCCGCGAAATTACTGGGAAGTGTTGCAACAAGATTGGCCTTATCCCTGGGGAGTCAGTCACCTATTTAATTCGACAGGAGTCCAACAGACTAACCACATGGTAGACACTCAGATCCCATCAGAAATGGATTTAGGGGCGCCTGGGGGGCTCAGTCAGTTTGGCGTCTGCCTTTGGCTCAGGTCCTGGGATCGAGCCCCGCATTGTGGGGGGGCTCCCTGCTCAGTGGTGAGTCTGCTGCTCCCTCTCTCCCTCTGCACCTCCCTCCACTCATGCTCTCTCTCTCTCTCTCTGTCTCTCAAATAAATAAAATCTTAAGACAAAAAAGAAACGAAGGATTTATTTCCCTAGCTGCCGGAAATGCTGACAGTAAACAGCCCTCGGCTATACGCCCCTTCTAGGAATTGCCTGAACTGAAATTAACTTGACCAAGGTCACCTCTCCTTCAAGGGGCAGCTCATGTCCAAAGACTGATTGGTGTGCCATATAAAGACGTGGCCCCGGGGCGCCTGGGTGGCTCAGTCCGCTAGGCGGCTGCCTTCAGCTCAGGTCATGATGTCAGGGTCCTGGGATCGAGTCCCGCATCCTGCTCCCTGCTCGGCGGGAAGCCTGCTTCTCCCTCTCCCTCTGTTCCTCACCCCCCACCCCCTGCTACTGCTCGCTCTCTCGCTCTCTCTCTCTCTCTCTCAAATAGATAAAATTAAAAGACAAAAACCTGGCCTCCTGTCCCAAATCAAGAGAACACTGAAGGGTCATTCCCTGCTTCAAAACCCCTGTAGGGTTGGCTGAGCCGTCTATTGAGAGACTCCCACAGCTCAGC